ATTATTCTTTCTAGTTTCCCCTTTTAAAATTTTTATTGATATTTCTATCTTAATTTCTCAAAATATTGGTACAGCTTTGTCATAGCATTTGATACAGTAAGAAGAGAGGAAAATAAGACAATTTTGAATGTTGTGCAGTGTTTTTTTTTTAAAAAGGAATTACATATTGAAAATATTTGATAGAAATATAAAAATGATAGAAATATAAAAACAGTTTCATTAAGTTAGAGATATTATTATCTCTTTCCTAATTTAAAATTGGAAACTGGAAACAAATGAAATCATACATGCTATAAGTATTTTCTCCAGAACATAAAATTATGAATGCCTGATTTGACACAGTGCTTGTCTGAAGAAACAACTAAGTATATACTGCCCCCTAGCACTAGCAAGCAGGAACATTTATAGTTAGCATTTCATGGGGTCTTTCCTCATGGTCTGGTAATGTCAAATTTAGAACTACCACCGACAGGAAAAGTAACGACAAGACTGGTACCCTGAAAGTGAAAAGCAGAAAATGATGACTCAATGACTTGAAAATTTGTGAAAGTGGAAATTTAAGAGGAAATATTTCCTATAAACTCTAGATGAAGATTTCATCAATTTTTAAACTTATAAAAATAATGCACCTTCATTCTCCATATAGTACATCCATATATGTATATGTGTGTATATATACATATGTGTATTTTACTGTTACAAAAGGGAGTCTGTTACTTGACTTTCTAATTCCACCTCCTGAAGAGCACACTATATTGTTTCTATCAAGTGAGAAGAATATTTATACTTAAATTATCATAAGCTTTCCCTGTAAAATACATACTGACCATTACTTTAATGAAATGCAACGACTTTCTATCTGTACACTAGGGAAATGTGCATGTAGATATTCAAGAAAAGGATCCCTAAAATCAGGAGGTTTTCCCAACCTCTATTTTCTTGAAATGTTGAAACGCTATTATAGACTTTGTGAGCTGGTATAATTATATATCTATGTGAATCTCTGTAAAGATGAGTTAATGGATCTAAAACAGTTGACAGAACATATGTAAGCCTTAAGTATAGGAGTTATAATTATCATTGTTAGAAACAAATGAAGTATTTTAACAATCAAAAGTTGTGAGGAAAACTCATGAAACATTTTAATGTTGTTCTGAAATTAGGAGAGATAGGAATGGAAGATAAAAAGATACTCCTAAGCACTGGGAACTGTAAGTGCTATCTTACAGATTGAGGTACATTCCATTATGCAAGGTGCAGTCTAAGAAAGCTAAGTTTGTACTTACAGTCCTACTGGGTTTTAGAATGAACATTACTTAATCCCATCTCAGCTAACCCAAGTTTGCAAAATTTTAAATATGTCACACAAAACTTGTCTTCTACTTTTCACACTCTATAGATACCTTTATTTTGTCTATATCTGACTTACAATTGTCTTCTTAGCTACATGAAGAACACAAAAGAAAATTATCAAAGCTGAAGAAAATGTTCCATCAAAGATTTGTATTGTTCTGCAGTATGACTCTTTCTCAAAAAGCATTATCTTTTTAGCAATGAAGAACAATGACGGCCTGTGCTAAATCAGGGTATGTTCAGTGGAATGACGGTGGGCTTCACTTACACAAAAAGTGAGAAGCATAGGCAAAGGCAGTACTGACTAGCTCCCCTGAGTTAACGATGCTCCCTGCCCTGCATCTCTTTTACAACCTTGTAGAAAAAACATCAAGCATAAAACCTATTTTCATGTCCATAGCCACCAATATAAAAATAATAGAAGGTTAGAATTATTAATCTACAGGATAACAAACAGTGATTCCCAGAGCAATTCTTTAGAATTTTTAAAACAAAAAAATTATGATCTGATTTTGAGGATCTAGTACTCTTGAAGCAAAAGATGGTTTGTTGCTAAAATAATTGTAGTGACTGCTTATATGAAAACTATTATACTACTGCTGTGTCAGATACAGAGAAATATGCACATGTGATTCATACATACAAAAAGATAAATGAAGTAGAATGGAATGTAGTGCCTGGTACATTACCGACCATTTTGACTTAATATTCTAGAATCTTGCCAAATTCTGAAGTCAAGCTCAATGAATTAGTTTCCAGGACACAGGTTACTTGGCTTTCTGAAAATCAGAAAATTTTTCTACCATCGGAGTCACCTAAAGGCAACACTGGTTTCAATTTCAGTTTTTGAGATTCTTTTTTAAGCAGCTCTCATTACCTGTAATGATTAAGACTTCATTACTTTCAAAGGGTAATAACTCACGAGGCCAGGTGGTACACACCTGAAATCCTAGCACTCTGGGAAGTATGGAGTAGGACTCCAAGTCTGGGCCCCGTGTAGGCAACTTAGCTATTTACTGAGATCCTGTCTCAAAATAAAAAGTTAATACTTTTAAATCAATTAACATGTAAATATTTTTAAACTGATGGTACACTTAACCCATTTGAACAAAAACTTCTTTGGGGTTTCCATTAGTTTTTAAAAATATAAAGGGATCCTGAGATAAAAAGTTCTGAGAACTGTCAAATTATGCTATTTTTCCTTTCACTTGTCTCTCAACCAGTGTAAGAAAACATTAGATTGTAAAGACTGTGGGGGTCGGTGTGGAGGTCGGGATGGGGGTGAAGGTGGGGGTAAGGGTAGGGGATTCGACTGAAGATTTATTAAAACGGAAAACTCGTTAGGAAACCTGTTTTTTTTTTTATTAACAAAAAGTTATCAAAATCTTATTTTACTATTTCTAGTAGGGTTAATGGGCCCTTTGGTTTCAAAATCTGAGCCCTTTCTGAAAGGTAAGCTTGTTCTATTATGAAAAAGAGACCTTAAGAATCATTCTGTACTCCAACCCTTTTAGGCTTAGGACTAATGTCAGAAACCCCACAGCAATTCTCAGTCCAGAAAACACATGCTCCCTGGATTTTCCAGATGGACCCTAATGGCCTTGTAGGATTCTTAAGATGGAATATTCCAAATAAGGTACACTTTCCCTATCATTGTATTTTGATAAAAGATGAAAAGCTCATTGTCAGTAGTCTCCTCTTGGATTAAAATCTGAAACTTTTATTTCAAAATTATTTTTATTTATTTTGTTCTTGACTGTTAGAGATCAAACCCAGAGCTTCATGCCTGTTAGATACAGCACTCTACCAATGGAGCCATCCCTCCAGTCTACAAAACTATTTACAGTAACAGTGCAAAGGCCAGACCGGATGAATAAACAAACACATGTTTTTAAATTGTCCTTTCACATTTTCAGTGAATAAGCCCAACTGAATATATATATAAGACTAGCTGAACATAAATTTAAAAGATTAGAGTGACAAACTTCTACAGGAGGAAAAAATTAGTAATAATTAAAAATCCTTTTAGATTACAGTTAAGTGACAATAGTTTTGCCAGCATATCACTGACTCTACCAGCTTACCTGAACTAGTAGGTCCAAAAGGCACATATGGTACTGAAATACACACAGCCTTATCATTTCTACCAATGACCCCCTGACAACTTTTCATACTTTGCAAGCTGAATGCCATTCTTAGCGCTTCAGGAGCATAGCTCCCTTAAGTATAAGAGAACACTCTTGTTCACACTTTAAGGGCCTAGAATACTTTCAGAAGCAGAAACACATCAAGACAAACATGATAAAAATCATTCTGGCCCCAGTTTTGCCAAATACACATTACTCATTCTATTTATATGTAAATCGCGTAACTACCATGACATACATAATCTAAGCATCACATCAGTAGACGATATTCCCAGCTATTTCAGCTTTAGCAGTGTTTGGTGTTCAGAGTTCTGTGACCCACAGCAAATGGAAAGGAGCCAGAAATTGCAATCTCTCCTGCAATGAAAGCCTGCATTTCAGTGATGGGAGATTAATGAGGGCCGACTTTGATAGGATTAGTTCTCAAGTAGGTGTAGTTTAGGCTCTCATCAAAGTACCCACTCTTCCTTTTGATGAATCCTAGCCTGTGTTCTTGCTAGAGGCACAGTTTCCTCAACAATTATTTTAAAGGTAGAAAATTAAACAAATTCAAGGGAAAAAAAAAAAAGAATGCTGTACATATAAACTAATGAAATGTAACTAAAAAGATGTAACTCATGGAAACATGTTAGAAAAATTCTCCATTTCATCACACCCCTTCTGCCAATACTCACTGTCAGAGATTGCTCTACATTAAAAACATCAAGTCTGTCTATAAAATTAGATATTAAAATGGCCTTACCAGTTTTTATATTATCAACAGATTTGAGGAACAACTCACTGAAGCAAAAACTTTTTAAAAATTGCTAGTTAATATTTTTGTACTCAAAAAATTTTAGTTTTTGCATTAAAAAATTAAAAGAATAAAATATAACACATAAAAGATTCCCTTAAATCTATATCAACTTCAGTCTTCTCCCCACATATGTAACCCCTGTAATTAGTTTACTTTTTCATTTTTATTTTTAATGGATAAATAATAACTGTATATACTTCTGGCATACAATTTGATAATCTGATATGTGTTTCTCCCATAAGCTTTCAAAAGAGGCTTAACTCCATGTTGCAAACTGCAACTGAGTTAACACGTAAGTCACACCCAGGCAAGCTTTTTTGAGTCAACTCTGATTTTGAGCCTGACATAAAGAAGCCATGAAGTCAGTCAAAATCTGGCAAAGCTTCATGGTAACACAGCAGGCAAAACCCAGGTAAAGCTACACAGGATTCACCTAAGAATACATTTTCTATTTCTTGAGATGTGAATATAATAAAACTCAAGTGAAAGCCCAGTACAGAGAGTATTTTAATATGACAATTTTACTAATGAATTTTTCAGAACAATCTGACAGGATTGAGTACGTTAAGAAAAATAAGATCCTTTCCCACTTAAAGCAAGAATATGAAAGGTAACCATACAAGCACGAGCTACAACTAGCAGTGATAGCTTGTTCAGACATAGATTTCTGTTTCCTTCTGCTCTGCGGTGCATGGACTACTTACATCTGGAATGAAGCCGATCTCGTTGAGGTGATTGCTCAGCTCAGGGTCGTGGAACGCAATCATCTGGGAGAATACAGTCAGATACTCTGCATGACAACAAAGATTCAGACATTCATCGTTCTGGCAAATTAACTCCAAGACATTAAATACAAATAAATTTTAATTTATACTCTGAATCTGATTTAATTTCTCAGATATAATTTTCTTAATGAAGAAAATAAGCCTTAATAAATACTTTTCTTTTTTTATTACTTTAATTACTTACTCTTATTGTTAAACAAATACACCAAGAAACTATCCTATAACTTATTTTCTGTCTTCAGAGCTATCAGTTTACTTCTTGAGTCACAAATTATATAAATCATGATGAATGTTTTCTTATTAAATTCTGCAAATATATTTTCTCTCATAATATTAAATCCATTTCACCTTTATTGAATGTTCAGAAAGTATAACAAATCCTTAAATAAGAAGCAACGTTGATAAGCAGTCCCAAATAGAATACTTATGCTTCAAATTTATTTATATTACAGATTTAGGCATCTGTTCCAGTTTTAATTTATTTTCATCTATGACTCTACATTTGACTTATTTAACAGTGAGAATTAACATCACATTAATCAGGAAGTAGGCATATAGCAGAAAATTAAAAATACCTTGTGTTGATTCCAACCCAATCCTAATTCATAGGGTTCAACCGGAATGTGAGCCATAAATTCTCATTTTCTCCAGTCTTTCAATAACTTATTGGCTGGGAGTGGTGGCACATGCCTGTAATCCCAGCACTTGGGAGGCTGAGGCAGGAAGATTGCTGTGAGTTCAAAGCCCGCGTGGGCTACAAAGTGAGTTCAAGGCCAGCCTGAACTGCATAGTGAAACCTTAGGCCAAAAACAAACAAACAAAAAAAGGAACCCCCAGCCCAAACCAAAAAAACTTATTATGGTTTACCAATTTATTGGGTAGGAACTAATCTAACCAAGATAGTGATAACAATCTACTTTAGTACAAATAACCATTGTACTTTGACTCATTAAAAAACCAAAAATACATATTTTAATGTTTCTTGTGCAATTGAAAACAACTCAATGAAAGTTTGCACTTAATAATCTCAACTTTCCTTCAAAAATTAGTACCTATGCTTAAGCTAACTATTTGATGAAAATAACCTGTAAAATTTTTTTTTGTTTTTTGGTTTTTACAGACAAAGTTGCACTATATAATTTTGGCTGGTGTTCAATTCATTATGTAGCACAAACTGGCCTTAAACTCATGGGGAACCTCCTGCCTCAGCCTCCTGAGGGTTAGAATTACAGCTGTGAACCCCCACACCTGGCATAAGTTTATTATTTTTACTATTGCAAGAAAAAGTACTAAACTTTTATAATCCATCACTATAAGGAGGCTTATCTTATTTTGGGGGTGGAAGTGTTGAAGTTTTTAGAAATATTTTTATTTTATCATTATTTATTAATACATGTTTGTGATTCATAATGAATATATTCATCATAGGATGTTGGTAAATATATATCATCTATTTTTCTCAACTAAAATTTTGTTTCACATTCATTTTTACAGTTGTCTATTAGCAATATGATATACCTTACAGAGAAGAACATCAGGCCAAAAGGAAAGGAGAAAGAGGCCTGTCTTCTATCCAACAATAAAGGCGAGTCGCCTTCCTGACCTGCGTGAATCCTGCTCATGATGGATAAAGAATGGGCACTCAATTAAGACCTCTTCCTGGCTTGTAGTTCATTCTGCTGCATCAGGATTCACTCTCTCTGCCCATTGTCTCACCCTTCCCTCTCTTAGACTCTATGAGCTCTAAGAGCTACAAATCAAAGTGAAGATCAGCATATGTATGAGGGCTCTGGGGAACTTGTGGGTTTAAGTTTTTTCTCTCCTTCCAATTAGTGATGGTATGTTTACAGCCACTTTACACAGAAGCCAAAGGTTTGTAACATCAGCCATCACAGGCATCCAACTATACACTGATAAGCACATAATTACTAACTTCTAACTTCTAAGTTAGAAATTCATGCCTCAAGTAATTCTCCACAGCTATGATCCCATTTATTAAGAATCATTCTTACTTCAACCTGATAAAATTAATTACTATGTGGATTTACATGGTTAATTAATGACCTACTAAAGAAACCTAATTCATTATGAAAACATTTTCCATATGTCCTGCCAATCACTGATAGCTGGCTTCATATGTTATAGCTGCATGTTCACACAGAGAGACACATTCTGCATGTTGTTGTGGATTATGTTACTTCATACATGTAAATACGATTTATAAAGTGAGATAAGTTACAGGTGGACAGCACAGGCTTTCACATGAGATAGAATATGGCTTCTTTCTGAATTGGGGGATATGACAGAAACTTCCTTCCTATAAATCACATTCCTCCTTAATTATAAAGTACCAAAGCAAAAAGTTGACTCAAAGGACGTACCTGATAACTGTTGTAAAAATAACAATGGGAGACTATAGGAAGAGTTTTTGCATTCTGTTTCAAAAGAAATACAAACCTATAAGAAAATTCCCTGTCCTTAACACATTTAGAATCTTATTGAAGAGATAAAAAAATAGCATGTAATGCGATCATAATAATACTAGCAAAAACTAGTAATAATAGGAACATAAACATTAAGAAACAATAGTACTTACTGAATGTTCCTATGTACCCAGAATTTAAGTTATTTACTACACTTAATCTTTATAATCTTTAAAAATTTTAGATATAAGGAAAATGACACCAATTGAACTCAAGTTTTTGTCCAATACTATACAGTAAGTAGGAAAGCTTAAATCTGAAGCTTTTTTAAAGTTCAAAAATGTATATTATTAACTTCTGTTATATTACTTCCAAAATGGAGTCTAGAATATTGTATTAGAAGTTTAAATGCAGCTGAAGTCATCCTGAATGAATTCACAAATATGTTATGCTGTAAAGAGAAGGAATGATTAAGGAAGTAAGAGGAGGGGTGCATTCTAAGTGTTTAAGCTTTGGGAATGAGATGAATGAGGAGTGTTTTTGATATGCAATTAACATTTAAACTTTTTACTACTTCACTATGGCTTACCCCATGGTAAAGCTCTCTGTGGGCAATTTTAATTGCGAGAGACAAACAGCAGCTTCTTATTTTCTAAAATTTCCATGATTACATTTGAGTTAAATTGCCAGAAATTAAACAGTTATTAGGAAAACAACATATTTCTTGGTGGACTGTGGAGAAGACTAAATTTTCTCAACTCTCTTCGTGAGTTTTAGGGATGAACCACTAGCATATTTCATTTGGTCAAAATCATAATTTAACTGACTATTGGTTATTTTTGACTTAAGTATTTTCCCTGTAAAATGACAAGAAAAGATATATACTTACCTTGTATTACATGTGAGTTGTCTTTCAAGAAGAAGTTATACAGGTATTTGGGAATAAAAGCAGACATACATGCATAAGCCAGGGCTAAAGAAGAATAAGACAAGTAAAAAATTGTTTAATAGCAGAAATGACTGGCTTTCATTCATTCATTCAGCACACATTCATTGAGTCTATTATTAAGAAGTAGTTATGGTAATAAGTGTTGAGAACATAAAGGCCAAAAAAAAAAAAAAAAAACAACAAACCAACCAGAAAACCTCTTTAAAGCAGAAAATATTTTGGACAACAAAAGATAACGATCGTAGTAATTTCTATTTCAAATTACTGTGGCAATCATTATCCCAAAATAATGAAAACCTTTGTTACTTGAATTTTTAAAAATTTCTAAACATGATCATTATTAATGAGCTATAAAATCTCATAATCTTAATTACTGCTGATGCAAATAAGAGTCTCAGAACTCTGAATTTAGGAATAGTTATAACCTGTACTTTCAAATATGGGTCTCTTGCTATTCTTGGGTCAATATAAATACTATTTGGCTTTGTCTAAATACAACAAAAGCCAATTTTATACTAATGAGTATAACAATGAATAGTACATTTTAAAAATAATTCAAACAATAAAGCGTCAGTTCTTTGAGATTATGCCATCTCTACTTAATGTTATAAAAGTAACGTGATACTATTAAAGATTTGGAAACTCAATCAATAGAATTTAACAAATACGTATTAAATTTCACTATAAAAAGAGTGTAATAGAGGCACAAAACCCAAAAACCTATCATTAACAAAAAAGTTGTCAAACGAGGGTTGTAACATTAATATATATGTAACCAGAACATACAACAGACACAAGATAGGTTTCCTTAAATACAAAGTGTTTATATACATTCAGAAAAGAGAATAAGAAGTCTTTATCGAAGAGGTATGTTTGAAATGGCAAGGTTTGGCGATGCAAGATTTGGAAGAAATGCAGTCAACATTGATTTCTTTGCAAATTATTTATAAAATACAGTATACTAAAACTATAAGAAAGTCAGAATCCTCTCTCAGGTTTCATAAAAATGGCCAGGAAAGTAGGTAAATGAATTTAGACTACTCAGTGTAACTCCCACCAAATCTCTAATTATACCCTTGTCATGACGGGCACTCTCTAGGAACAAACTAAATCTTTCCTATCCTTGAAAATGAATCTAACAAACTATCTTATAAAATTTTACAGCATCTGTAAGGTAAAGTGTAAAAACCTTAAACTTAAATATTTTAGAATAAAAGGCACAAAAATTCTTTAAATGATAAAGAGGCTTACCTTCATTATTGAAATTTAGGTACAGGAATGGAGCACAAAGTGAGTCAAGACCTGATGCAGAGAAGTTGGGACAAAGGAATCAAAAAAATGCAACCCAGCAGGACTGTGGATATATAGCTACTCAATTCTCTACACTGCCTCCAGGGAGAGAGGCCTTACAAGTGTTAGCCACCAAGACACGCTTGTTTTCATGAATTACTGTGAGGAATAAATAATAGTGTCTGAACATAGTTTCTTTCTTTTTTTTGGTACTGGGAATTGAACTCAGGACCTTGCGCTTGCCAGGCAGGCACTTACACCACTGAGCTATACCCTCAGCCCAGAACTTAGTTTATGTCCAAAACAAATCAGGTGTTATTGCCAATATTTATATAAGGTAAGGAGCAATACAGCAGTAAAAAAATATAAAAATGTTAGAAGACTTGAAACACGGTTCCATCTGACCCTAAATGTGGCATTTCCTTAACATCTTCAGGCATGTTTTCTTTTTAGGAGAAGGAGATGTGCCGTATATATTCTTTCCCTTTTAGATTATGAAGAAAATCCTTTAAAAATTGTGAAGTAAAATGCAAAAATTGATCTATTTTAATGATAATAATGATGTTCATATGTTGTTGTATCAAAAGGATGCACTTAAATCTACCAACAATGTCTGAGGACACAGAACACCTGAGGAATGTATGAAGGTAGGAAACATAACACCTCCATTTTATTAAGTATGGCCATTAAGAAATAGAAAATTTAAATATAACACCAACTGCTTAGAGCACAACACTCTTTTTTTTTTTTGGTACCAGGAATTGAACTCAGGACCTTGCACTTGCCAGGCAGGTGCTGTGCTGTGCAGCTATCTGCCCAGCCAGAACAGAACATTCTCAAAAAGAAGGCCGAATGGAATGGACTTCTCATTCATGAACTTTTTGATGGCCATAAAACTAATAACGATATTTGGGCTGAGGATGTAGCTTCATGGTAGAGCACATTCATTGTATGCATGTGTTGATGGTCAGCAATCTCTACAAAAGACTGCAAAGCTAAAATATCAAGGATCAGAAGCATTAATATACTAGAGGGTAAAAGGAGACAATAAGATGTGTATGTACATGTACCAACTTCACCATGAATGTACTGCAAATGTGGTAAAAAAAATATTTAAAAAGACAACAAACAAAATGAGCCCTTTAGGGTGATCTCCTTTGCTTAATTTCTAATAAACTATGAGAAGCATAAGTGAGGAATCACTAAATAGTAAAAATCTCAAATTGCACCAAATTATTTATGCATAAACTTATTTTGCTGTGTGCATAAACTTAAAAATGTGCCCACAAACTTTATAAAAAGTACCAAATATCCTGCTTTCCTAGTCATGTGAATGAAAGTTATTTAATTTCAACTATCACATATTTAAATGCTATCTGCTAGGGATTTAGACAAAGATTTTAAAAAAGAGTTCTCATAAACCTTTCAAAAAGTAATCAGAGCTTTAATATTTACTTTGCTCAAAACAAAGGATAGTTGATAGTTTTAGAAACTGCCAGTCACATAGTAAATTCCTAATACTAATCCAAGAAAATTCCTTGTATTTATTCTTAATAACAAAAAAAAGTTACCTTGCCAATACACAAGATCAGGATGAGATACCACCCAAGCCTTCAATACACGCCGAAACTTTGCATGGCCTTCAGGTGATGATAAAAGTTCATCGTATTGATGACAACGAGGGATATCCACTTCAATCTGTGAAATCACAAAGTAGTAACACATAACTGGGACAAAATGATCCCTAATAAATCCTGAAACCACATTCCACTTCAAAGTGTCCCTCCATGACCCTAGTATCTAAAGTTTCTGTATGTTTTATTCATCTTCTGGAACACCAAATAAGTTATATGCATAATTAAACAGGGCAAACAGACATTTTTTTGAAAAGGTACGTATCAACACAATTTACTAATACATAATTAATATAATGCATTAACATAGTGTTCAAAAATATGTTCTAATTTGGTGTAAATAAAAGGCAAACTATGGCAGGTGCTTAAGACAATCTTACTTGTCTATCTGTAGGAATTGGAGTGTCTTTATCAATTGCATCATACTTAGCATGAATAGCACCCTGCAAAAAATAAAAGAAAATATGTCAATTCATTATATGTTCAATAAAAATATGTTTAATAAAACTAATAATACCTGCTGAGTAACCCCTGTCCTAAATATGTGAGAACAGACATATTTCAGGTTTTAGAGTTTCTCTGATTTTGGAATAGAGTACTATATCTGTAAATTTACTGGTTGAGTATCTCTAATGTGAAAACCTAAAATCCAAAAGGCTCCAAAATCAAAAGCATTAAATGTGTGATGTTGGCACTCAACCATTATCAGATTTGGGACCATTTCAGATTTTTGGATTAGCAATGCTCAATAGTAAAAATCAATTTCTTATATATCTCTATTTTTGAAAACCTACTCAATTAAAAATAGGTACATTCAAGCTCAAATTATACCTCAACTGAAGAGAAATTGTCTACCTTTTAACAATGTGTGATAAAGGTCTATGATAAGTGATAGTTTACCATGTTGGTGAACCTTGTATTATCCACACCAAAAAGTAAATGTCTTGGATGAGTCACTTATCTAGTGAATGTAATACAATGTAATTTTGTTATCTGTTCATTGTTAACTTATAAATAATAAATCTCAAATAAATTTTTTTTGGGGGAGGATAATCTTACAAGAAAATTTTCTATTAAAGTTCAAAATAAAACAAAAAAATAAAAATTTTTCTTTTTGGTACTGGGAATTGAACTCAGGACTTTGCGCTTGCCAGGCAGGCGCTTGTGCCGCTGAGCTACATCCCTGGCAAAAAAAAAAAATTGTTGAAGGAGTAATGGTTCACTATCAGGAAACAGAAGTTTGGATGGAGTGTTCTATAATTATCAGATAATTACAGAACAATTTGAAACTGAGAGGGTCAGTTATATTTTTTGGTTACACTGTTACAAAGAAATATTTGAATAAACCACTTCAGATTGTGGTCATGTTCTATATTTCCAAGCAGGAAAACACTCTTATTTTTCCAGCTTACCATTAAGATAGAGAAAGACCCAGGAATATGGTGACATTATTTGCTCTATCAACTTCTTTGGGAAATCTAAAAAGTGAGGTTTGGACAGCTTGACAGAAGTATGCTTGAACTTGAGTACTAATCATTATCATATGGTATGAAACAGCAGATATTCTTGCTATTTTCTTTTTTTTTTTTTTTTTGGTTTTTCTCCGGTACCGGGAACTGAACTCACGACCTTGCGCTTGCATTCTTGCTATTTTCAAAGGTATTTCTAGACTTGCATCAAGAGAACCAGGAATTAAGAAAGAAAATTCTTCTAAAAGAGGAAATGGATTAAAAATGGTTGGAGGAACTAAAAGAGTAGAAGATATCTAGAAAAGAATACAGGAAGACAGGATGCAAAGAAACTACGGGGTAATGTCAGAATCTGGCAAGGATCTGGTGCATTATCATGATTTCTAGCACCAGAGTTCTTGTATGATAAGCTGCCCTAATAATTTTGTGACAACTCTCTTTTCCTCATGACCATGGATAAAATGTTGAAGAAGACAAAACAGCTATGTCTCTCAGCAGCATGAGCCAGGTGAAGTCAATGTGCCAAAAGACACAAAATCATGTTAATAATTTTGAAGCACAGATTGGATTGAAAGAGTTCTCTGACGCTGGAATTGCTTATAAATAAGTCACACTCAAAAAAGAGCATCATCTGTATGCAAAACTTCCTATCTGTATAATCTGATTTTAAATTTAATGATTAAGATATTTTCTGTGAACACCACTAAAATATGAAACAGCACAAATCTAACAAGTGTTTAGTTACATTTTCTGTTTTATTCCTTGCATTTATTTCTTCCATTCAAATTCACAAACTTTCTCATGCTTGTATTTTACTATATAATTTTCTAATGAAAAATATACAGAAATATACAGAAAGCCCTATCCTTTTTATCTTCTTTTTTAAAAAATCACAAATAGAGTAAATGTTTAAATTTTAAAAAATTGATTACTGCAAAAGCCACACTACCATTAATCCCCATCATGCCACTCCCCTCTCCCTCACTTCAAGCACACTTATGCCACCTTCTGAAGCAGTTCTGGAGTCCTCTTTTGTGAGTGTGGTTAGTTGCACTGTCATGGCTGCCTCAGTGTCCTGAATCCATTCTAAACATTTATCTTTCATGTTTGCTTTGATTTGGGAGAAGAGCCACAAATCACAAGGTGCCAAATATGATGAATAGAGTAGATAAGGAAACACCATAATTTTTTGACATAATTACAGCAAATGTTTGATTAGTGATTGGTGATTGAAATATATGGTGAACCATTATGTTCAAATAAAAACTTTATTACAGGGGCTAGGGATTTAGCTCAGTGGCACAGCATCTGCCTGGCAAGCACAAGGTCGCGAGTTTGATTCCTGGTACCGGAAAACAAAAAACAAAAAAAAACAAAGAAAAACAACCAAAAAACTTTATTACAGTAAAAGACACAGTACCATTAATTTCACTTTCAATATACTTACTCTATGGTACTTGGCAATGTAATAAATTTTTACTGTAATAAATTTTAAAAAGAAATTTAAATATTCACTACCTTGTTGATCACTCCTTATATTAATCAATATCTACCCTCTTTTCCTTCTTACCTCAACTCCCAGAAGAGCAGCCCAGGTTAAACCTCTCATAAGAGGTGGAATGTCAACTCTTGCTTCTTTCCAAATTTGATTTTTTTTATATGGATAAGCCTATGATATTAAAAAAAGAATGAAAATATTTCAAAACATTTAATTATAGCAAGTATTGTGCCAACTGTAATGCAATAAAACTAATCAGTAAATTAGTTTTTTGAGCCATCCTTAAATCCCTAACATGAATCCCACTAGATAATGGAGAAACTTGTTAATTTGCTGTTGGACTTGGTGTGCCTATATTTTACAAAACCTTCAGAAATTATTCAGATACATAGAAATTAAACAACATACTTCTCAAGAACCAATGAACAAAGAAATTGAAGAAATTTAAACATTTTTGAAATGCATATTAATGGAAACAACATACGAAGACCCATGAATATAGTAAAAGCAATACTAAGAGAAATTTACTGCAATCTATGAGTACAACAAACAAACAGAAACAGGTCAGACAATCTATTATCATACTTCGAGAAACTAGATAAATAAGAAGTAACTAAATCCAAAACTAGAATAACAAAGATCAAAACAGTAATGAAATAGAGATTAAAACAAAAATATGAAAGATTAATGAAATCAAAAGTTAGTTTTTAAATAAAATTGATAAACCCTTCACTACACTAAGAAAAAAGAGAAAGGACTCAAAATCACAAAGGAAAATGTAGACATAATAGCTGAAACCACAGAAATACAAAATACCAGTATTATGGAACACATACTCCAAAAAATTTGATAACCTACAAGAAATGAAAACATTCCTGGATATATACCCTTTCCAAGACTGCATCATGAAACAACAGAAAATGTCAACAGACCAAGAACAAGTTAACAAGATTGAATCAATAATGAAAAAGTTCCCCATCAATGTTAAAAGTTCAAGATCAGATGACTGAATTCTATCAAACATTTAAGGAACTAAATACCAACACTTTCCATTTTCTATGAATGGATACCAAAACTCAAATTATTCTAAAGAAACTGAAGAGAAAGAAATCTTACAAATTTTATAGACATCATTACCCTGAGACCAAAACCAGACAAGGCTATAACAAAAAAAAATAAGTCTACACATCTATATACCTGAAATGAAATGCAAAAATGCAAAGATGCAAAAATCTTCAGTAAAATATAGGCACACCAAGTCCAACAGCAAATTAACAAGTTTCTCCATTATCTAGTGGGATTCATGTTAGGGATTTAAGGATGGCTCAAAATACAGAAATAAATACATGAGATGCAGCATATAAAAAGAACAAAGGACAAAAATCACATGATCATCTCAATATATGCAGGAAACACATGTGACATTCCTTTATGACTCAAGTTCTAAGTAAATGAGGTATAAAGGAATGTACTACAACACAGTATTTCCTGCCTAACTGTATTTATATCATGTACTTCATCCATTTTTCTGATTCAATATTGGTACTTTTTTCCTACTAGTTTTTAAGTCTATTTTTTAAAAAATGTTCATCTTTTTTCTAATATATTCTCACATCTTGCTTTTTACTTTTTAATTTACTTACTATGAATTTGTACCAATTTTATAACAAAAGAAAATTAATCTGAAAAGATAGATTAACAAGAACTAGTCTTCTCATGACATCAAGTCCCTAAGAATGCACAGGATAAAATTCTTGTTAGCCCTGGGCTTTCAGATCCCCACCTTGAGCAGCCTGTCAAAGAGAACGATTCTGTTGAGCTGATACTCGGTGTCCCTCTCTCTGATGATCAAAGGGAGTGTGGCAGCTGCAGACAATTCGTTACTGCTGTTTGAGTGAGGTAAATTAGACTGGCTGTAAAGGAGAACAAAACCAACAATACTGACAAAAGGAACAAAATTCTAATGAACTAACACACCACTTTCAAATGTTCTATTTAGAAAGCACTCTGGAAAATGCACAAACTTCTTACCAATCTAATATAAACAGAAAAGAAAACTAAATGGAAAATGAGACTATATATACTCACTCATCTTCAAGTAATGGATAAAATGCTTCTCCACCAACATCCTTTAATCTCTGTGAATTTAAAGAGAAAATATTTATGTATGGTCATCTTAGGCAGCAACACAATTGTATCTAAAAGGAAAGTACTGTAAAAATTATAAATTTATAGATAAGACAAGTATAAAACAGAATCTAAAAACTACCTTTGATCTTGTATTAATTGTAATTTATATAGCAAAATCTATGACAAACTCTAAGCAATTTTAAAATATTCTAAGAAAGCAGAGAAAATGGAACCATACAAAATGATCGATTAAAACCAGAGAAAGCAGGAAAAAAAGTAAAAGGTAAAATGGCAGCAGCAACAGTAAAGGGCAATGGACAGAAAACAGTTTACAGTTGGTACACATCAATCTATATATTAGTCATCTCTTTAATATGCATGATCCAAATAAAGCAATTACAAGACTGAGGCTATCACTATGGATACAAAATAAGACCTAATTATGTGTGTCTATAACAAACTCACTTGAAACCTAAAGATATAGAAAGATTACAAATAAAGTAATGGAGAAAGATATACTATGCTAACAATAATCGAAAGAGAGCTGGAATAATTATATTAATTTTAAATAAGGTAGAGCTCTGACAAGGACAATTATGATACATATCAATTTACAAAACCTCATATAAGGGGAAGTAGACAATCTGAATAGGACTATTAAAGAAGTTGAATCAATAATGAATAATCTCCTAAAAGAAAGATTTCATGCTCAGAATGAGCTCATTGTTGAATAATACCAAACATTAACAGAAACTATAACGACTTCTTCCAGAAGACAGAAGCTGAGGAAATACTTCCTAACTCACCAAGGACAGCATCACCCTAATACCAAAGATGACAATAATAGTATAAGAAAGGAAAACTTCAGATCAATACCTTTCATGTGAACAGAGGCACAAATTCTCCACAAAGATATTAGCATTTGAGTCTATGTAGTGAATAAAGACAATTATACACTATATCTCCAAATGAATTTTATGTAAACAAGATTGGTATAACATTTAAAATCAAGTAACATAAACCATAAAATCCACAAGTTAAAGAGAAAAATCTTACAATCATATCAACACAAGCAGAAAATCAACACAACAGATTTTGTCAATTTGGATTGACAAAATCCAACACTCATTCTTGACAAAATTCATAACACATTAAAAATAGAAGGGAATTTTTTTATCCCAATAAAGAACATCTATAAAAACATCAAGTTAATATAATGATCAAAACTAGATGCATTTCCTCATCTGTTTTTAAAGGCGCTAAAACACATAACATTAAAAAGTGATTGAAAATAAAATAGAAAACCTGAATAGATTAATAACCATTAAATACACTGAAAGAGTGACTACAAATCCACAGAGGATAGGAAGGCGCCTGCAAAAGAGGGTTTTAGAAATAAGTGCTATGAAGCATTCAAGACATAGATATATGTAATCCTGTATATAAAGTTTTTCAGAAAGTAGAAGAAAGGCTATACTCTCGTATTCATGTTATGTGACTAATATAGCTTTGATACCAAATTAATGAGAAATCACTCATAAATACTGACAAAAATGAAAACCAGTAATATACAGAATAGGTAGGCAAACAGCTAAAAAAAAGAGAAATCTTACTGCACTAAGTAAGATTAGTATAACAGCAGAATTTCATTTTATAACAAGAGATTAACAAAATTATTTTTAAAATTTGATAATGGCAAGTATTATCACTTAAGTGGAGAAATAAGACCTTTTATCCAATGATGGTGAAAAGATAATTGGATAAAATCATTTATGTGAACAATCAGACACAAAAAAATTTGACATTGTACAGGTGTTATTTTCTTGCAAGTCCATTCTGATACATGTACTTTACAGAACATTGCACATTATTTTATGAAATTAGGGAGGAACACAAGTCTTCATGCATATTTTTAAAAGGCGAATTTTCAAAATTCGGAAGCCATTTGGCAAACTATTATTCTTACATTTCTCAGTTGGCATAATGACAATGTCACAGTGGTATCATCTAAAAGTGAGCTTCTATCTCGACCTTGTCCAAAGCTTTCACCATCTTCAAAAACAAAACTGAAAAAAAGTTTTTTTTAAATATTATATTGAGCCTATTTTCCTAAGTCATAATCCCTCTAAGATAAGTAAATTTTAAAGTAGGTAGTTAACTTAAAACAGTGTAACTGTTGGTTGAGATCTCTCCAAGTAAGTCCAATTTTTTGATCTCTTGGGTGTACATGAATAGAGTGTACATGTACAAAGCATTTCAGGAATGCAGGGTGTCACAACTCTTTGTTTATATAAGCTCAATGTGAAACTACTGACACTATTCAAGTATGTTTCTAAGAAGGTCAGGCCAGGTGAAAAGTGGTAAAGGGAAGAAACAGCACATGGCAATGTCTCAGGGGAAAAATACTGCATTGGATAACATAGGCAGAAACCTGACCAGAATTTCAAAGAATTACTTTTAAGAATGTATTTATTCTGCAGACAAGTATTTCTTGGAATTTCTACCCTCCTATTGTTGACTTTCTACTTGATACAGTGGATGATAGACAGTTGAAGTTATTATCTATCTAGAGGGAAGGAAAGTAGAAAACTAATAGTCTATCCAAATTTAAAATTTAACAAATGAAATTTAGACTATGAGGTTAAATATGAACTAGTAAATATCCTTGATTTGCAAAATATTTTCAAATATAGGCATTGTTTTTTAAAAATGTTCTCTCATACAAGCAAGATACAGGACCTTAAAGGAATCTTTTAATAATAGTTTAAACTAAAAAGAAAATTAACAACAAGAAAATGATGAATGGATGGCTTCCACAAATAACCATGATGATCAAATCTATCCTTCAATCTAAAATTGAAACATTAAAGCTTGGAAGAAGCTCCATAAGTTTGTAGAAGCTTCTACAATTACCTACAATGATAAAATCTGTCCTAAATCTAAAATTAAAACTTTACAGCTTGGAATAAGTTTCATAAGTTCACATTTATTTCATGAGTAAATTTAACTAGAAATGTTATAATAAAGACAACATTGGCCCTCAGGGATTGAGTCATTTAACTTCCAGTCTAATTATAACAGGTGTTTTGTACATTTTTCTCAACTGTGAGTATGCAGAGTGATGATCTCCAGTACATGCAGTTGGGCCATAGAGTTCATTTATAGCCATAAGTATATTTGGAAAAAGAACAGAGTTCTTCATAATAGGCCATCCTTGGCCAGATTATTACATTATCTCAAGTATTACCGTTTGGATTCATACATTTTTCACTAATACCAATTATAGCATGATGTTCTGTAATACTCTATCTCGAATAGGTCGCAAAGCAAGGTATTAAAAGATAATATTTATTTAAAAGTAATAAAAAATATTGATGGGAACTGTGTGATTAGAAACTAAGGCCAAGCTCACATATGTTGATTTTCAACTGCTTCCATAATCACTTCTTGGCATGTCTACCAAAAGAAAACAACACCAAACTGCTTTTTAGTGTTATTACCAGGTCCCCCCCGCCCCCCATTTCCAAGAGAAGTTTCTTTCCTTACTTGGGAAGGGTGCAGATAGGGGGTTTGGATCGAATGATTTCCTTATTAACAAGCTCTTTCTCCAAGTCACCACCAGCCAAACACCAAAGGTAATAAACTTCCTCAATGGATCTTTCTGCCAGGTAATCACTGTCTATATCTATTAGGCAAATTAAAAAAGAATCAGTAATCACAATTTCTGCATTTATTAGAATTCAACAGGCAGTAATGGCTGACATTCTGAAAAAAGTAAAAACCTAAAGAACACATGTCTGGTTACAATTGGGTGTGCGTGTAAGAAGCCTGGAAGTTGGCACTTCACCTAGCAAGTAAAAAGCTGAACACATCAAGACCTCTTCTTAAATCTGTGAATGGTAAGGATGTAGGGACAGCTACTGTCCCGAGGCTGTAGAGAAAAACACGAGAATATAGGAAGTCACAACTTGCTAGAGCAGAAAATACCTCGGGATCCAGTCAGGGAGGCTCAGTGTGTCCAAGATCTATAGTTAAAACTCCAGGGGACCAGTCACTGGAGGATGTGCACTCCTCTGAGAAGTTACCTCTAGAAGTTCGACCAGTTTTTCATAGTAAATACCAGAGGAAACTATCCTTGTGCTTCTGGCAGTGGCAGGAAGGAATGGAATCATTGCAAACACAGCACTCTGTTCTTAACTAGGTCTCCTCAGGAGAAGCTGTTGGTCAGAAACTAACTGACTGGGGAAGGACAGTTCCCAACTCCAACCGCTCCAGGTGTTTGTGGTAATTCATTACAGGAAAGGAAAAGCATCCTACAGTCATGTGACTATGGTTCTGTAGGGTAGGGAGTCTGTGTCTCCTGCTCTTAGGTAGACAGGATGGCCAGACTGAACCGGAGTTGGGCATCCTTTTCCATATCTAAGGATGGGCTGTGACCGGTACATTTGAATTCATTTTGTGTTATAATCAGCTGGGAGCCTTGGCTGCTTCTCTGAGAAGAGTTTCTTAGTGTTGCAGGCAGAATCAATAGGGCTTCAGCTGTTTCTGCGGTGCTGTGAGCCTGTGGACCTACTTCTAAAACAGGGATTATGTAAATGTCTGCCTTCCCATTTCACACAAATGTTAAGGATTCAATGTGTGGTATACAGTAGGAACTCAGTCAATATTTAATTATGTCAGTATTTCGTAAATACTTTCTGACGTGACTGTGTCATGGTAGCTTTTCAGTATGACAGTAACTTACTGGTGTCACTAACACACACATTCTGGCAGTGGCAGGAAGAAATGTGAAGGAATCTTCACATAAGAATGAAAATCTATTGTCTTTGACAGGTAGAATATAGTGGTATGGATATCCTATCAATAATATGCTTTTTAGACATCATCTATAATAAATTTTTATAGAACATTAGTAACTTAAATTTGGGGCCAATTTGAGACATAAATTTGAGGCAAGTTTTCTTTTGAGCACTTCTAGAATCATCTCTCAATTCTTAAGTAATTTTCCATCAGATTCCACTAATGTAAAAATATTGTTGATAAATTCAAAATTAGAACTAAGGGAAGAAAACATCCCAGGGAAAGAGGGCTAACATTATTGCTCATATTTTACTTATCATTACCTTTACACAACTGACTGATATCCTCAGGTAGAGTTAAATCAGCACATCTCAGAGAAGATGAAAACAGACTGGCAGGTTTGGTGAAAGGGGTGTATAAAGGTGACACTTCATTGAACACTTTGTCCTTCATTAATTCATCTGGGGTTGGCCTTGAGAAACAATTTAAAATACAGAGCATGAATAAAATTATACAGTATTTCTTAGAAAAATGACATACATTCAAGAGGATACTAAAAATTGTAAATATCTCATTAGCACTGAAAATAACACAGCACTCCTCCTCAATTTTTATAAATCTACTTACTAAAGCAAGAAAATCTAAATAAATTAAAAAGCAAAATAAGAGGTAGGTAATAGGAAATGGAGAGATGACAGATCTTTGGCCAATAGGAAGGGACCAAGAGATAGGTAGGGGGTGGAGGGGATAATTAAAAATTAAAATATGTTAAGTACATGTACCAACTTCCCATGTTGAATGTAATTATATATTATAAGTATGCACTAATAAAAATTGAAACAACAAAAGGAAATTCTGTAACTTTTACCATCTACATAGAGAAAGGAACAAGGGCAGAATAAAACGTTTGAGTATATCTTTATATAACAACCAGATTACTGTGAACACACAATTACTTTTCAATTTTGTTTTTCTTTCTGTACCTTATAAACAGAAATCATTCTACAAAATATTTTACATTTTTTACGTTCAGCCTGACTTGCACGTGCCTGCTTTTATTGAATGTCTTACGTAAGTATGCAATCAACAGTTTAAAAAATTTCCTTCCTATCCTTTTGGTTTAATGTGTTACATTCACTCAAAACTATGCTTTAATACCATTCCTTTGTCCCCAACATTTCTTGACAAAGTTATCCCCTTAAAGACAATTATACTACATTATTTCAAACATTATATACTTAAGAACTTTAGGAATACTTAACTAAAGAGTGACATAATCAAATAGAAGTCTTTAAGAAATTTTTTTATATTGCCATCAATCATTAGCTATCTCAACATGTGACCAAGCTCAGTGCTATCATACATAATGCCAACAAAGTTTTGTTCTCATTTCTCTGATACCATTGGGTCTAGAAATATCAATAGTCCACAGTTTAGCTGATTTTCTACTTGGAGGTTAAGAAATGAGCTACTAACTTATTTTGATATGTGTCAGTTTTCTGACTATGGTTTAACTATTATTATTTTTTATTTTATTAATAAAAGTTAAAGCATTAAATCACTGATTTAGGATACTGGTCTGAATTAAGCACTACTACATATGTAAGTATAATCCGTTAGTATTGTAACAAGGGAAAAATCAACTGCATATATGTAAAAGATGTCAGTGTAATCTCAAAGTTTTAATAATATCAACCTCTTAGATGGATGGAAGGTCAGGCACTTCTTCAAAAGATCTATCATATTTTCAGGAAGCTCCTGGTAAATAGAGAAAAAGTTATTATTTACATGATCTATTTTCTAAATATATATTACTCAAATATTTGTTTCTCTAGAAGATTTTAAAAAAAACATTATAGCATTTGGCTTTTATACAACTTCTATTATTTGTCACTGTATAAAAAGAAAGTTTCTAGAGAGAACTAAGCAGAGTTTAAATAGCTTGCTGCTGGATCCCGAGTGTGTAAATCAGTAACATATTGCTGTGGTTTGACCGAGACACCTCCAGGTTCAGGTGTGGAGACTGAACAGGCAGGGCTGGTGTTAAGAGGTGGAGGCTTGAGCAGTGGGATGGGATGGAGCCTTTAGTAAAGCAGCCTCCTCAGCACTCCCCCAGCTACTTCCATCCATCTGTGAGTAGTCTTCTACACCTCCGGACATGTAGCCATACCAATCAAAAGACCCTGAAAACACCTAGATCCTGGGTCTCCCAGCCTGTAAAGCCTCCAGAAAATACTGTAGTGTTTTGGTTCCCTAGGAATCACCCAGGCATGTTTGTTCAGTGAGAGGAGCATAGACAGAGTCAGGCAGGTTTATAACCAACCTTTATGATGTCCAGACAACCATGCTCTTCAGCCAGCACCGTTACAGGGTCATCCACACAGTCTATAAAACAGGCAGACAGAATAATCACAGCCATTAGATCTAGCAGACTACTGCATCAGCTTAATCTGATTAGAACAGCAGGGGACAACCTCAGTCAAAATTTATAGAACAACAATGCAGTTTGGGTATTTGGAATAGTGAAAACTACTTGTGATCTTATTTACTTTCCTTATACTTTTAAATAAAATAAAGAACCTCCAACACCAAATATTAATTAATCATATGTATTAAAAATAACATCTTGAAGGGAGGTAAAGACATTCAAAGGCTTTATTTTTTCAGATTTTAAAACTAATTTATATTTATTAATAATTTGGAGATTGTATACAAATTTTTCTGGGGATTTAAAGTTTA